ATTGTATGTGTTCCTCGTGTCCGGATTCGATCTGTGTTTTCGAAAATGAATGAAGCCGACACGAAGCAGCTTGTCAAAGATAAAAGCCTCGACGATAATGAACAAGTCACGTCCTGTCACGCTCGTTTTACATTGTCACCCCATTGAGCGATTGAGCAACGAGAGCTGATGAGAGCGAGCTTACGAGGCCGTCGAGCGGCGTCGAGCAATGTGATGTCATCCTGTTGTCGAAGGGCCACACACACACACACACACACACACACACACACACACACACACACACACACACACACAAGCAGTTCTTTTTGCAGCACATCACCGCCATCATTCTTTCTAATCTGCAGCCCTTGCTTCAGTTCACTCCCAACATCTTTTATTACCCCCCCCCCAGACAATCCGAAGAGGAAATTAATTTTCCAAATGCTTGTGTTAAATTGGCGCACTTTTTTTTTGAAGGGGTGGAAAAGCGGGGGGCGGAGCGGTGGGCAGATAGCCACATTATCATTTAATTAATTAAAGCTCAGTTGGCCATTCAAAGTATCCCAATGCATCACTGCGCTAAGAAGTGCGGGTGCCCGATAAAGAACAAGAAGACTAAATTGTGCTCCGGGATGAATGGAGGCTTTGATCGCCGCCGATGCGCCGCCTCACTTCTGGTGTCATCTGGAAGAGATGTTGCTCATTGACATGCGTCCCATGGCGCATCTGTCGGCGGTCCGCATGCAATGCGCACTGGAGGACGGGGCGGAAGAGATGCCAAGCTGCCAGAGTGCGTCAGAAGGAAAGCAGACTGCAATTTTAAAAATCACCCTCCGAGCCCCCCCCAAAAAAAAAAATACATCAATAATTAATTTTCATGTTCCTTCGACATGGTTGTTCTTGAATTGGCAGCACATTTCCAACACATGACATTTTCTTGTGTCGGGTACGGGCAAGATAATTAGGAGAAGCTTGTGTTTGATGACATCATAAAGAATCTGTGAATTGGCTGACTGGGATCTCATCATAGACAGGGAAGAAAAAAAACATCTGACAGCTTTCGTGAATGAATATCCTGCAAGCGTGATGCAAACAGCTCCGAGGCCTCGCTCTTATTTAATCAAGCGGCGTGACAAAGAGCTCACCGATAATAACAGCGGCAGGCTGAGTGAGCCAAAGGAGCCAAGATTGACTCGTTCACACTTTTAAGTCTCTCCAGCAAATACTTACGTTTGGGTATTTAGTTGTAGGGCTGAGAGCCAACCCCCCCCACCCCCCAAACCAAAGCGGAAGTTAGAAAGCAGCGGCAATATATTCACTCTGGAGACCAACCACGTTTGCTGCATTAGCTCCATGTAAGTCTCCTGCCTGTGTCCAACATGCAAACCTCCACACGGGCCGAGATTCGCCGAGATTCGAACCCTGAACCTCAGCATTGTGAGGCAGACGTGTGAACCACTAGGTAATTAATCAAAAACATCCCGAAAAAAAACAAGAATTTGTCTCGAAGCGTGTCCTGCGATTGAATGACTGCTTCGTGTTATCATCATCCTGTATGATAAAATACAAAAGTGTTCACAAGGTTCCAGTTCCCACATCCGTGACCTTTGACCCCTGTCCTCAGCCGCAGCGCCTCAAAGGAATCTGAGCGTCGTCTAAAACTTCACCGGGTCACCACGCAGCTAATCTGTGTGTGTGTGTGTGTGTGTGTGTGTGTGTGTGTGTGTGTGTGTGTGTGTGTGTGTGTGTGTGTGTGTGTGCGCGTGCGCGCCCAACTGCGCTACAATGGATCGTTCGGTGCAAACTGCATAAATCAGGGTCATCGTGAAAAGAAAATAAGCCGACAAGTTCATGAATTTTATCCTACCTTTAAATCCTCTCTCGTTCATACTCTAAATCGGCAATGGAATCCGCATATCATTTTGAACGTCAGGAGTGTTGAGTTTGCCTTTTTCATCACACTTAAAATTGCCATGAAAATTTCATTTTGGTGACAGAAGCGTGTTTGGCTCCCTTGAATGGCGTGTTATAAATTTACGGTTGTAGGGCCCTGTTTTCTTGTCCAGCGCAAGTCTAGCGCAAAGTGCTGTCTCACTCTGCGCATGGATGGAGGTTTTCCTTCTTTGGATATTTTTGTGGAAACACGCAATCGGAAAGGGGCATTTGCGCCGTTGTGGGAGTGAGCACAGCCGACCTGATTCCCGGCCAGTCTAAGGGGCTTCTTTCATTGTCTTGAAATAAGTTCAACATGGCGAAACCTGAAACAACCTCTCTGAAGTCAGTGCACCAAAGTACGTTTACAAGGAACTGAAAGAAGATTTACGGATGATGTAAAGTTGTTCGCTAGCCAACCCATCCCTCCCCACCCCCGTCTTCACCACACACGCCAATTGTGCTGCGCTACTGGGGTGCTTTCGTATACATCCCCGTCGGTGGCGGTAAACATATGTAATGAAAATCAATGAGTTTGTGGGGTTGAGGTCAGGGTTCTGAAATGCCTTCCAAAAAAGCCTTCTGAAAAGTGTTCCCACTAAATTAAACTGCCCGTGTTGAAAATTTCTGTGAAACAGGGGGGGCCGTAAGAAGATTTGAGGATCTTTTCACCGGGCGTGTGTTCAGATGCCTGGCGGACACGAACATTAGTTTTGCCTTTACAAGAGACCCCGAGCTAGACGGGCGCCACCGTCTCCGTCTGGACCGAACAAGATGAGCTGCCACGCATTCAACACTCGAAGGTGTCTCGTGTCGGATTTACTGCTCCCCGCGTACGCCCCGCTGGCTTTCACGTTACCGTTTCATCATTGGCCCCATTTGGGACCCACCGCGCGGTGCAACGCCGTTGACCGTCACCTGAATTGACGACTGGCGGGCGCCCGTGTTGCGCGGTGTGGGGATAATCATGATGAATTTTGGAGTGATCGGCCGGGAAAATGCAATTTGGCATATCGTGACAGACTGTAACAGCTGCTGCATGCCATGCGATTGCAGGGGTGAGGGAGGGGGTGCGGGGCGGGGGGGGGGTGATTAGGGCTAAACAATTAATCAAATTCAAATCAACATTGTGAGAAAAGGGCGGCCCGGTGGGCGAGTGGTTTGCGCGTTGACCTCACAGTGCAGTGGTACCATGATGATGCAACGGGTGTGAGCTGCTGCTTCGTGGCATCTGTGAGGGGAAATACTTTTTGATTTTATCATCAAGGGGAGGCTCCCAAAAAAAAAAAAAAATCAGAGCAGGGCCATGTTTTGGGAGTGGGCGGAGGTTCCAAAATAAAATCAGCTGTCACTCTCCATTGGTCTGCCAAAGGTGGACGCGCTGCTGGAGCTGGTCTCCAACGCTGACTGGGATTTGCTTTGGATTGGGAAGGACCCTGCTGGCTGGGGTGGTGCAGTGGCCGCTTGTGTGGGAATCTACCCGTTGAGCTTTTTTTTTTTTTTTTTTTTTTTTCTTGACTTAGAACTCACCTTCTATTTTTTACCTGGTAGGTCATGAATGAATTGGATTTCACCTTATGTGAATTTGTGTTGCCACATGAGTTTGAAATTATGGATGTTTTCGCCGCGGGGAAATAAACAGCGACTAAACACAAAATTAACTCGGCAATTTGAAATGCCGCCACGAGGGGAGAAGTGATTTATTCTGCTTCCAAACAGGCGACGCTCTGCATTACTACAGGTGTTGTGGCGCGCGACTGCGGAGAAACTTGACAAGCCATGAAATGGGCAGTACAGCGGCGAGTCATTTCCCATCAAAGCCGCAATGTGTGAATGTGGCGTTATCAAAAAAAAAAAGGAACACTGTGACCTCACTGCTTCCATAAAAGCAACAAGGCCCTTCATGGTTGCGTTTAAAATAGGCAACATTTATTTTTGTTTGGCGCCTCGATTACTTCACTTTCTTGTTATTTGAGCTTGCCGCGCATGCATGACATGTCATTAGATAGCCTCGGACTTTTCTGGCTTTGACTTTTTACTATCCGCTCTGACATTTAAGAGTTTCTACATATATAAATATACAGTGTATCCCCTAAAGGGGTGAGCTGGAATTTGTAGCCGGTTGTTTTGTAATTTGCATTCATTTCAGTTTTCAGTCAGTTCTTAAGTTCAGGCGTCTGATTTAAGCAACATACGTGCCTCCAAGGCAGGCAGATCTCACATAATTAAGCTGCGAATCATTCACGACCTGAAACGTTAATTAATTCCATAAAAAGAGCCTCTAAATGGTGCAATGCTTCAATGTAACAGCGGTTTTGATTGTCTCTTGACTTTACTAAAGTTTGAGAACATGATGCTATCTTGTGTTTTGCGAACAAAAACAAGAGACCTCATTGAAAAAAAAAAATCTCTCATTTTCCACTTTGTCTACTTTTAATAATATTATCCTGGCAGCGATGAATCATAATATACACTTCATGTCCAAAGGCAATTATTCTCTGAGCCGTTATCAATTTTAAAATAACAGACTTCCTGTTTACTTACGTGGGTAAACAGGGCCGTTTGCACTCGCGTCCTGAATGAAGCAAAACGTCAAAGCTGCAGTATGTTAAGTCGTTTGGTCGAAGCCAGTCATACATAGCGCTGCAGGTTATGAAAGTAGTCTAGAAACATTTTTGACGAAATGCCGTGTTGCCTTGAGATACAAGTAACCCGACTCACAGCTAGCTAGCATCAATAGCTGCGGTTTGAGAAGCGACTAATACCAGCGGAGCAACACATCTAGTTATATACGATCATTTACAGGCATGTATTCTTTATCCTCTGTCAAAAATGACTGTCTGCACGACTATAGGACGCTGCCTCTCTGTGGTCAAGGCTGCCACACCAGAATTTTCCAGATTTTCCTCTGCGAATACCGAGATGATTCTGTAGAAAGCTTTTTTGTTTGTTTGTTTGTTTGTTTTGTTTTGTTTTCTGAGATCTTTATTTTTCCCAATGTGACGTGGATATTTCCAACCACTTCACACATGACGACTTCTGTAAACAAAAACAACTGACCACAGTTTCTTGTCTGCGTGTGTCTTTAGCTGCTGGCAGCACGCGTGAAAGCCGAGCGGGACCTCCTGAAACATTTTAACCAGAAGAGCCAAGCGCCAACCCACTGTAGAGCATCCACGTAGCAGGCTACTGCCACCCAGCGAGCGGCCAACACCATCCCCCGAGCAGGGTACTTGGGCGTTGAACCCTTTCATGCACCCCGTAACCTGATTACATGATAAGCTGTGCACTGTAGTAACCGCTGTCCCTCGAAGGGTTAAAGTAATGTTTTTGTCTGACTGCGAGGTAGCTGTCACCTTTTATTGGTGCTGTTGTCATGCTGTGTTCGTCGTGCAGGTGGTGACAGTCAGGCAACGGGGAGTGACTCGCCAGCGGGGTCAGCAGCCTTTCCTAGGCAGTACAAATAGAGGAGAGGGTATAAATAGGAAGGAAACAAGACTCTCACTGAGCAGCTCATACAGAGAGTGCTGAAAAGAGGAAAAAGTTGCCGTCACTTTTCAAGGCTTCTCGGGAGTGTGTGACTTAATGAGGTCAAACACAATCTGTTCTGGGAACAGTGGTCAACCTGCGACTTGTTGGTTTTTAATGCGAAGAGGAAACTTGGCATCGTAAGATGGTCGTAAGCGTTTTGAAAGGGGATTGTGATCGAGTTGGACAGACAGAGAAAATAAATAAGGCAAAATTATCCTTTACAGCACTGCATCATTGTATCGCGCTTCATGGGTACAGAAGTACACGTGAAGTTTTTTTTTTTTCCATAAAAGTCAAATATAGTGCAACAGTAAAAATGCTAATTTCTCAGAAAGTGAGTAGAGATACTTTTGTGCTCTTCTCCGCTTTGTGAAGTAACGTCAGAGTGGAGACAAACTGACGTTAGCCATGCTAGTTAGCTAGTTATCTGCCTCCGTAGCCAGTCATTCGTATTTCTATCGCCAACTCTTGACACACTGACTCCCGTAACTGGTGGCAAAGGTTCATTTCAACACGGCGTGATCGTAATAAAGTTCGCTTGAATTTGTCAGAGTGATGGGCGGCGCTTACAAATGTCACAAAGGGCAAAACCATCAGGCTCACGGACTTGGGACTTTTTTTTTTTTTTTTAAACCATGCCTCGACATATACAAAGTAAGCCCACAGGCTAGCAAAAAGTGAGTTAACAAAACAAACATCTTTGGAGAGATTCTTCAGAAAGTGAAAAAGGAGAACATGTTTTTCACTCACTAAGCTAGCCCCGTGTACTATGATCAAAAAGCACTGAATATCTTGCTTCCATTTCCAAATTGCTGTCTTTGTCAAGTGGTATTTTCCGCTCTGACGGCGACCAAAACCATAATAACAGTTGACAGTACATAATTAACAGTTTTGGGTGTCATTGTGTCCCATTAGCTCAATGTGACCGGGTAATTGAAGGGAAACAAATTACGGGCAGCTACACGGAGCGTCACGGTGAGCTGCATTTTCCCTACTTGGTTTTATTAGTTTCGACACATCCAAATATTTCTTGACTTGAAACCGGTTCGTTGCGCACAACAAGGTTGCAGACAGCTGCTTTAGAGCATGATTCGCAGGCTGAAGATGAGCTCTATACGTGAGGTGGAGCCCGCTAATGATATTCCCTGCTTCATTAGGTCATGGAGGACTCTGAGATCTGTTCCGTGCCTGGGGGACTCGCCAGCATGAGGAAACAATTTACGACCCAGGAAACTATCTCTACGACCACATCACATGTAACCCAGTTCCATTTCCAGCGCAGCAGTGTGCAGGTACAGATATTAGAGGCCAATTTGCCCAATTATGGGCGCTATTGCATGAAAGTGAATGAGATGTCTATAATCAAGTGAGGAGAGGGAAACATTAGCGGGGACAGGAATCCTGATGTCTTGCTTTCATTGAGCTCACTAACATGCATGGTTGAGCCTGGCAAGAATATGCCATTTATTCTGAAAATGAACATGGAGGTTTGCGATACATCGACACCTCATTTGCACCGACGCGCATTTACAGCGTTCTGCCTATTTTTGTGGCACGGTATGTTGTTTGTCATCCCGCCGCTCTCTACAGAAGTCATACTGCATTGCGATAACTGTCTGGTCCCTGCTTGATTTCAGCATGGCACGCATGATGACACTTCAGCGTGTGGAGCTGACTCGCATCACTTGAGCACCAGGGGGGATGCTCGCATGAATGAGGCATGTTTTTTTGTTTGTTTTGTTTTGTTTTTTTTGTTTCGAAGGACATATCATATCCGGGCGGGTAGTCTCGGGTGGCCTGGTGCAGAATGTTGAATTACTTTACAGGGAAACTTTGGATATTTGCGGTTCGGCATTAGCAAAGTCACACATGTGTATGCGACGGTATATAAATGCCAAGGGACTATGTTGAAGTGAGTTGAGGAGCTTTACTTACAAGCTGTGGCTTGCCACCATCTTGTGTCGTGATCATTGACCAAGAGTTTTAGAAGTGAAGTGATTCACATTTATTTCCTAATTACTCTGACAAATTAACATGTGTTCGCGCTGCACAGCCGACCGTTGTCATTGTTTGTACAATTGCAGGAAATGTCACACTCGGAGTCAAGCAGCGGGCAACAGGTGGTTGCAAGCAGTCAGCAGCTGCAATCCAAACAAGAAACAATGGTACATACTTTTTGATCCTTCTGTTGACAAGTTATTCTACGCCTGGTATACTCCATTAGATGTGTGTTATGAATGCATTCACTGACCTGAAAGCAACGAACAATCTAATCATCAAAATATTCAACCTGACTATCTCGTTTGGTCTAATGAAAGTTTGCTAGTTTAATAACATGTCATGCAGATGGGCTAATAAAATAATCTTTTACGTTTGCCATTAAAAAAAATCGTCCGAATAAATTGCTGTTTTCGTACGAGGAGGCTAACGTTCGTTTTTCACAAAGCTCACAATGCGC